AGCGGCGAGGGGGGGAGTGAGAGCGCTGTGATAGCGCTTTTTCGGCTTTTGTTTTTGCTTGTCTCTGCTCTCCAAAGCTATTACTGCAAGCTGAGAGCGCAGCAGCGCTGCCGGCTCAACACTTCTTCATCTACCTGAACAGAACGAAAGCGAAAGTGAGTAGGTGAAGGGGGGTGATATCACGAAAGATGTTGGTGAGAGAGATGCAGCAGAGATGATCGGGCTCGGGAATCGGCATTAGTTTCTCTTCGTGTTTCTCTCCCACTACCAAGAACGAAAGCGAAATTGCGTGGCCCAGCAAGATCATATGCATGTACATATGTACATATCGTTTACGTTTGCTGTTAGCAAGCTGCTAAATTTACATGCCTCCGTCACGATACTAGAGAACGAAAGCGAAAGTGTGTGGCCAAGCCTAGCTGTGCAGATTACATATGTACATACATATGTATCCAGTTAATGCAGGTCAGTAATCTTCTCACTCTCATTTTCATTCGCTGTTAGCGAGCTACCAGCCGAGGCTTTGCCACTTACAGTGCACTGTAACGATAGTGGATAAGTTATTCATACCCTGTTTGCTCGCTGCTAAATCTGCTACGAATTGTATGTACTTATGTACTATGTACTTACATATGTAAAGAAATAATTTTAATTAAACCCACTCTTTTGTCGCTATTTAATTGGAACATCTTTAATCACAGTTCCCACAATTCTGCGCGGAAGAACTTTCTTTGCCAAGTGTCCGCTTATTTTAGCCAATTAAATCCACAAACTTATTAGCAGCAAAGTTTCCTTGAAACGTAATTGCAAACTACTTAATCATTTATCCAATCACAGTGCCCCAGTCGCGCCCAGTGGCACGAGCTCGATTCAATTAAACCACTTCCAGCTGATGCCAGTGACTTTGTGCCCCACTTTAATGCAACAGAGCAGCCAGCAGAGCTTTGTCCTGGCGGTGTCCGTATCGTAGGTATCGTGTCCATCCAGCTCGGCTGGGGACCATTTGACAAGCGTGTCGTGTTACCAGCGCCTTATGCACGACTCTCAGTGCTGCATTAGCCGGGGCTTTAGTTGGGCCACTCACATGCGGCAGGGGCACAGGGAGACTGCCACATGTGGAGGAAATGGAGAAAGTTGCCATTGCCACTGCCAGGCCTTGTCACTTATGCAAAATCCCCTAATGGAGGCATGCGGAGGTGCAAGAAAAACAGAATAAAAAAGGAAAAAGGGAAAAATGAGAGCAGGAAGCCAAGCAAGGATAGCAATGCAGCCTGGCCAAGGGATCTACTGGATGGCTGGATGACTGGGGATGGTGTTGCTGTTTCGGTATCCTCTTGTTCGTTTTTTTGCCATTACATAAAAATGCTCTTTAAGCGGATTCCGTAGCATTTTACTTGTTTGCCATTGTTAAACCGAGTGTTCAGCATACGGCCCCAAAGGACTTCTCCCCTCTTGCCACCTTGAACCAGCAGGATACTCAGTCGAGTATTGGATGGAGCTCTGCTCTGTGTGCTTAAAGGCAGGCGACAAAAAATCTGATGAGTCTCTGGGGTAAATACCACTGTCCCTACCCTATAAATGAGTAATGGGAAAAGTCTGGGAATTTAAGCAACTCAAAAGACTTTCTGTCTTAAGTAATTAATTTTTGTATCGGGAATATTTATTTTAATTTAACTATATTTTAAGCCACCCCAAAAAAAGGCCATGTCTTTCTCTGCCACCTCTAATTAATAGGGCATTTGCTTAGTCCGTCTCATAAACATAAAAACGTTCCGCCACTTTGATAAGAAACGCAAAAACCTCACAACCGAAAATGCTTAGGCATATTTTTCTTTTTGGTTTTTTAGCTTAAAAAAACCAAAAAAAAAAACCCCTACAAAAATATGAAATCCTGAGAAAGCGAAGACAGAAGAGAACCCCTTCTAATTATGCCAGAACATGCGCAAATATTTTTCTTATGGCTGCTCGCCGCTCAGCTGAGGCAGATTAATTAATTCAAGGCACCAACCCGCAACCAGCACGCTGCTCAGGAACTCAAGAGTGTGTGGGCTGGGCTGGCCTGGCCAGGAACTTGGACTTGGGGCCGGAAAAAGTCAAGGATGAGTTGCCAAAGTTTTTAATTAAATTATACAAAGTATATTTGGCCAATTTCAAAAGAAGCAAATATTAAGAATCAGTCAGACAAACAAAAAACTCTTCCAACAATAAAAAGGCAGCGGAAAAGGCTGTTACGGGAATTTGAAAATGGAAAATAAAAGGAAAATAAAAGGAACCCCTACACTGGGTAAACTGATCAACCAATAAATGGGATAATTGTATACACGACACGATTTTCTCTCAAAGAACCAAAGTTTCTTTCTCTTTCTGAAAGATATGGGGCTTAGAAATTGTCTGATCCACTTCAACTCTTTGCCAAAAGTGAATTCCTCTACATATTTAATTGCATTTAATAGCCACCCCAAAAGGTGCTTGGAAATCGCGTAAAAGCACCCTACGATCCAGCCATGCGGGTGTCAGAATTCAGGCAACGGCCACCAACCAATGAAATCAATCAAGCAGAAGTCGCAGACGTTTGCCAATTTTACGAGGCATCACAAAAAAACAACGGCAAAAATAAGGAAGAAAAAAACGAAAGAAATGTCATAAAACTTATTTACTTAGCACCAGCAAAAAGACCGTAGCCTGCAGCCTGTAGCCAGGCGGAGTCGGGGGCTTTTCTTAGACTTAAACAAAAGGCCTGACATAAATAAAGCAGCATAAAAAATAAGCAACTGAACAAAGGCAGAAAAGCCAGCGAAAAGCAAAGTCAAGTCAACGAAAAATTGGGGGCTGTCAATAATCATAAAATGTCTGAGAGGAGCGAAGAAAGTGCAAAGAAAACGGAAGAGGAGGGCAGAAAGAGAGAATGTAGGCGGAGGAGATGAACAGCCGTAGGAATTTGTTAAATTGCCTGTGAATGACAAATATTGTGTTATAATTTGTATTGCGAAAATTAAGCAGCCGGCAGCAAATAATTGCGTATGCGCATTATTTAATTTCTCTAAGTGTTGTTAGCCATGAAATGCTAGCACCCGGATTTCAGCCGTCTTAAAGAGAGATTGTAAAAAATTCATAAGTACAAGTTAAAGGCCTGTGAATGGCGCGTCTAATGGACAGTGACATAAGACGCAGACTGTCAGCCGAGCTGGGGCAGCTCAGACAGCCAAGCCATCTCTGTCCCATCTGTCCCTATTCCTGCCTCTCTAAGTCCCTGGCTGTAGTGGCAGGCTGAGGGCCTAACGTGTTTGGACATGGCCAAGAAGCGTAGACAATGGAAGACAGGCACAGGAGCCATGTCAAGTGGGGGGCTGGCGGTTGGAAACATAAGAATTGTTTCTTTAATTTTATATCTCGAACAATGGCACTCCCGAAAGCTTTATGAATTTTGTATTTAGCCAGAAAGCAGTCTACATGAAACCCAAGCTGACATGTGGAACCAAAAGCAATGCTTAATATGTTTGCCTATTTTTTTGTACCGGAAAGCTCTCAATTGAATTTTCATCGGGTGTTTCCCAAGCTGTAGTCAGTAATGTGCCAAAACTTGAACACTTTATACAATTTTTGATATTTAATATTGCCTCTCCTGGAAAATGTCCATAAATGGTGGGCAGGGCAAGCAATTTGCAATTACTGCGTCGCATTTTAATTAAATCTTCGTCCCATCACATATGCGGCAGTCGTATATGTACGTATCCCCAGCCTTTGCAGGATAAAAACAAGAGGAAAAATCAAAAATCCTTACCCGAGCTCCGCACTGACAGTGGCTCATCAAAATGAGCAAGCGGATACTTAATCTGATTTACTTGGCTCTGGCGAAGGCACAGAGCCAGCTGGATGGCTGCGATGGCTGACACCGAAGGGAAGCCCTGGCCAAGTGCGGGTAAACAAGCTTCTTCATAAAAAGCGACATCTCGACCAGCCAAGGGCGGGGAGGGAACACAAGTTGGAGCTGTGGCTACCACAGGCTTGCTGGCTGGCTGGCTGGCTGCCCTGCCCTGCCTCTTCTCACACTCTTAGCTGCCACTGCTATGCCGCGCTCTGTGGCGTTGTGTACACCATAAAAGAGCGATAAGATAGCCGTGCCCAGCGACGACCGACCGTGGCACTTGACTGTTTCTAGTACCCCCCACACACCCACACACCCACACACCAACACACCAACCAGAACCTGTTTTCGTCGTCCTTCTTACCAGACATCCTGCTTATACTCTTTGTGTAAGTGGGGCATAGCAGAATGTTTGTAAGGAATAAAATGTTTGTTTGAATAAACTCCCTGAAGAGTATCTCTGGATTCGCTTTATGCTGCTGACTTTGCTGCTGCTTTTTTTTTTCTTACTATATTTGATTTTCATTTGCCCAACGGCCTTCGCTCTGACTCTTGCTTCTGCTCTGCTTTTCGGAGAGCTGCCTGCCAGCATCTTTAGTGTGATTTATTTTGGCAGAGCACAATGTACTTTCTTTTGAAATAAATCATAAATTTCAACGCACTGCTCTGGCAGTACGCAGTGTCCTCCTGCCTAAGAGGATTTTCCAAGCCAAGATGTGTTGTGGTTTGGTGTGGTGTCTGGCCTATGGCCGAGCGAGCTGTGAGCTACGACAGCAATTGAGTTATCCGCAAAAAGGAAGATGTATATGTATACAGATATTTCATCATATTATATTTATTGTATTTTTTATGGCACTTACTTGTGGGTTGCCCCTGCAGCGTTTTGTTTGTGGCTTGAAAAATGTAAAACGGATCTCTGGACACGCAGGCTCTGCCGCAGGGAGAGTTATGAGCTAAATGCGACACGCACGACTCGAACGGAAGGAAGGGCTGTGCTTGGGCTTGTGTTGGTATTATGAGTACAAGTAGAGCGGCCTGAGGGCAGCCTCAATCCTAGAACAAAGACATGATTTGTGGCTACAGATTTAGTTCATTTTGTTCTGGATTTACACTTGGCTAGAAAAGATTTTCCGACTACATTTAACTACATTTTCTTTATTGAAATTATCACAATTTGTTGCTACCAACTGTTGTTTGACCCCCAATCATCTCAAATGCGAGTGATTTCCTTGTCCTTGTTGACCTCATCGATCTGCACTTGAATGGGTGTACGATAGGCGCTCTGCACCATCATGGAGACCAAAACCATTTCCACCAGTATCAAGATATTGATGATGGCTGCAAGTAAGAGCAAAAAAATTAAAATTGTATTCGAAATTAATGTTTCGAAAGTCACACCCACTTTGCTTGTAGACAGTGTGATTGATGGGATACTCTCCGCCCATTTTGATGTCATCGAGCTGATCGTAGAGCACCAGATACTGCAGCTTGCAGAGCATCACGACCAGCTGAAGGCAGAACATCTTCTTCCGCAGCTGATAGTCGCCGCGCAGCTTCGTTACCATTCGCACCGTGATCTGCAGAGACCACACGCCCAGCACAATCGAGCTGACGATGAAGGGTATGAAGAAGTACACCACTTGATGGTAGAGCTGAATGTCCCGATAGTACAGGATGTTCATCACCAGCATAATGGAGCCCTGCCAGAAGGGCATCTGCCAGACCATGTAGCGTGAGATGCACAGCTTGGCCTTTGTGGGCACCACCAGCGGCAGGCAGAGGCACCAGCAGCAGCAGGGCGGTGTGCTCAGCTGCACCGCCTCACCGCCCGACTCCTTCACATAGTTCTGCTCGGAGTCGACGTAGCGGAAGAGCAGTGAGCGGAATATGGGACCACCCACCATGAACATTACATGCATCACCGTGTGGCACATAAACCAGGAGTACGGCACCAGTATGGTAACCAGTGCGGCCACCGAGATAATCGGATAGAGGCTCACCATCAGTATGGAGGGTGTACGCAGTGGCTTGCTCAGGTGGCGCCTCAACCGCGACACTGTGGTCGAGTAGATGCATATATTGAGGATGGTCAGCAGGCTGGCAATGAAGATGGCCAAGCTAAGGAAGGCAGTCATATCTGGCAGGAGAATAATGTAAGTAGTTTTGCCTCTTTAATGGTAGCTTTCCTTCCCAATACTCACTCCCATAATACTCCTCCACTGTGGGATGTGTGCGAAGACTCAGGGCAGAACTATTTTTCTCCATTTGCAGCTCAGCCTGCGGTGCCTCCTCCGTTTGCTCCTCCATCGCCACCCACTCATCGCTGGCATTCATTTTGTATTTGTTTGAAGAGGGATTTAAGATGATAAATTCACTCTCTCTCTCTCTGCTGTTGGCAAGTTGTGTGCAATACTTCCTGGGAGCTCTTCCTCTGCCTGCTTACACTTCACATCTTTGCCATTGTTCGCACATTTGCCAAACAGTTAACAGACTTTACTTTTATTAGCACTCTCGTAAATGTATCTTTAAAGTTGCCTCAATCTGTTAGATGGGATGAATGCTGTGCTGGAAATAGAGACAGATGGGTAGAGGATAGTCGTAAATATTACTTTCCACAAAGCCCTGGGGGGGAAAGTGTCAGAAGTGTGCAATACTCGTAAATAGGTATTTCTCTCGGTTAGTTACTGATTTTTAAGTAGAAGAGCCAATGCACTCGACTACCTAATGGATGCTAAACACACAGTCTAGACGAAGTGTTAATACCCTCAATCACGATCCCGGATAAACACAAAAAGAGGTCCCTACATATTTATATCTTTGGGCAGGTGAAACTTTAATGACTCATCTGCAGACATTTCTAATTTTTTGAGCAAACCCGAGATACGTTTCAGATTTCAATTGGTTGCCAGATGTGACAGATGAGGCAAACAAATAAAGGAGAGATGGACAACTTCTTCACAGAACTGAACCAAAAACTATCAAATAATCATGGACATGGCTTCAGCTTAGCTAAGCTGCCTCCCATGAGAATCGCGTAGAAAGGCGATGGACAAAGAGATAGAACTGAAAGTGATCTGTGAGGGGACCGATCTGCAGACCTCGGCGGCTACCTCTTACAGCTTCCTGAGTGTCAGGCGGTGCCAGCCAAGCAGCCCACCACTTTACCGGATCTAACACCGAGCTCATTACGTATAAGTTTGCGTTTTAAGCGCTAAACAAAAACGCAAAAGCGCTAAACCCGACAGACGAATGCTCCAGAGTCACAAATTAAAGCATAAAACAAAAATTAAATGCCTGATTGTTCTTATTCGAAGAGGCTCACACAATAATCGACAGTCATGGGTTCTGCTCTAATAACTCTTCACTCCACTTATCCACAAATATCTGTTATTAATCTGTAAAAAATTCAACTGTATACTGTTCAATATAAACCCAATAATACGCTACCTAAACCAAGCGTAAGAGCGTATCAAATGATGTTAAATGCAAATGCAAAACCAAAAATGAAACCCCAAAGTGGTGCAAAGCAGCCATAACAAGCCACAGGTGAAAAGCACGTGCCCGCAGAGCCCAAGGCAAGCGAAGAGAAAGAGTAAAAGAGTGAAGAGAGAGACATGGAGGAAGAGAAAGAGCGCGAGTGTTGGGCGCCCGAAAAACTAAACCGGTTTCTGACAGCATAGACGACCGACGACCGACGACCGGCCATACTAAAAGCAAAACAAAAACACAACTGATATTATTGCTTGCCACACATTGCATTACTGCCATCAGTTATGCAATTCTCTTTGTTATTTTTACATTTTGAAACAGGTTTCGTACATCACTTTTAATCCCCCCTTCAAGTACTTTGCACAAGACAATACTACTCGCATGTTGAAAGTACCTGTAAACGAGTGCTATAAACATGAGTCAACCATCACTTTGAATCTCCCAAACGCCACCACCAGCAGAGCAACAAGCAGCAACGACCTTCGGTGGCAGATCAGCAACGAAAACGTGTCAAAGTCCCCTTTTAGGCTTGCCCTCAATCCCAGACTTCAGTCTTCCAACGAACTGTGGAGATCTCGAAATGTGCCTTATCAGCCAACAGCTCAAGCCAGCAGCCAGAGATCAAAATTCACCATCAGCCTCAATGATTTCATCAGTAAACGAAAGAAAGAGAACTCTTTTTTTTTCACAATTAGTTTTCAAAAAATTTGCCATAAATAATTTTTCCAACAATTAGCACAGAATTCGCGGATTCATTTTTTTGGTTAACACATTTTAAGGTGCGTAAAATGAAGCGCGAAATATGTATCAGAGCAGCGTCATAAAGATTATATAGTATCTCATCTGCGCTCTGCTCATTTTTTTGTTCTGATTTTTTAACGGGTTGCAAATGGGCAGCGCACGCAATAAAAAGCAAAAACAAATGGCTAAATAATTAAACCAAAATATTAAACGATTGTTTAGAACGTGCCAAAATTGTGAGATGAAATGAATTACACCAAACACGGTTCAAACATGTCATCTATTATATAAACTCTTAGCTCGTACTAAATTCTCGAGAGTAGCTTTAAGGATTTTTAGCTTCTATTAGAGATTATAAACATTTAAATGTACATTTCTTTATGTTTATTTACTTAAATCTCTTCCTTACTCCATCCAAAACACAAACCTTACACAAAATATGATATACCCCAATTCCACACACCCTTTCTTGACACATCTTTAAAACTCCCACGAGCAAGACTTGTTGAAATGAAACGTAAACATTAGCGAAAAGTGAACAAAGTTTTTGCATTTTGCTGTTGGCCATGGCTCGGTTTTTTTTGTGTTTTCTTTTTTGATGGGGAAACCATATTAAATGGGGAATTTCGTGTCATTTTATCCGCTCTTTTCCGTTTGGTTACAGCTTCTTTCGGTGACATGCGGCAGCACATGCCCAGCAGCCAGCCAGCCAGCCAGCAGCCAGCAGCCAGCGGTTGGCCGGCCCTGACTCTACCACCCAAATGCGTTGTCGTCTGCCAAGTTATTTCCGAGCTTTTTGTGGTTAACAAAAATTCAAATATCTCGGCGAGACGAACCCGAAAAATCGACCCACCGACACGACACGACCTTACGCAATGCAATCGAATTTAGCAAAAAAAAAAAAACAAACCAAAAACCAAATATAAATGCATAGCACTGCAGTGGCGGGAAATAATCAAAATCAGAGCTGAAACCGCAAAATCTAATTTGTTTGCGGAACGAAAACAAAAGAGATGGGAAAATGGCTACAATCATGGCAATTCCCCGTCTGTCACTTACTTATTTGCAAGAGAAAAACTATGGCAATTCATTAAACAAAGTGATAAGGCCAATTAGCAGTGGCTCGAACAACCATTCGGAATTTTATCTAGATAAAAATGTAATTATGTCGCTTGTTCGCTGGCATGTTTCAAATATTTTTCACAGAATCAAAGACAAAAACAATCTGGCAAAATACTTTGTAAATTGTTGAGTGTGACACACACAGTACTCAAGTTCAAAGGTCATTTTGGGCTGTTTACCCCAGCCTTTTGCTTGTATTGTTATTGAACATGTCTGATGGCCATGGATAAACTGAATTTCTCGGCAGTAACTCCAATTTGTTGGTAATTAGTGATTGATTTCTGTAACTTGAGGAAGTTTTATGTTCTTGTCTTTTTTGTAAGATAAGAGTACCGAAATTCTGTGCTTAGATTTTTCATTCATTTATTACCAAAACAAATTGACTATTTCTGCCTCATGCTGGTTTTTAATAAATACAAATATGTCAGCATTTTCCAATGCATTTTTACGCACTCAAAACTTGTTTTCCAATCAAATCTGTTTTGGGAAATGTTTTCTGCTTAATTTCCCGAAAGTCTTAACGTCGTTAACCCGACCATCAACTCGTTTTTTGAAGCCAAATTCTTCCTGTGTGGCCGACCTTGGCATTGCACTTTACGGGTATGGCACAGTTGATCAGAATTTCAATTGAAATGATATGCTGTCTTTTAATTCATTTTGATTGCCTTCACAAATTATCGGCATAGAAACTATAATTATTTATTTATTTCTGTGTTGCATGTCAATGTGGGAAATACACTTCATTAAGATTGACTGAATAATGCAACAAAACAAATACGAATCGATCACAAGCGATTGCAAACTGCACAAATAAATGGGTAGAAGGGAATCAATAAAAATCGAGAAGCATTAACCAAATGTCTACTTTGTGCAGGGTTTTATTCGTGCTCTTTGTTGAAATTTTGTACAATTTTTGGTACTTTTACTCAAGCAGCTCTTGTTGTCTTGGCTCTTTCTCTCTTTCTCTTTTTTGCTTGATCACACTCACTCTCTCTCTTTCTCTTTACCTCTCTCTGTTTGTTTTGTTTGTTTTTGTGTACTTTGTTGTGTACTTTGATGCCGCGCGTGTCTTGTTCGCTCGCGCGTTGTTCACCAACTGAAACTGAAATTCAAAATATTGCGCTGGCCAATGCCGATCACGAACGTGAATGCGCCCGTTCCCCAGACCACGAACTGTCTCTTAGTGTGTGCTTGTGTGTGTGTTGGCCAAAACAGAAAATAGCAGTAGCAATAACAACAACAACAACAATTGCTGACGCTCGCTGCTGCTGTGCGATGTGCTAATCGTCATTTGTCGATTTCAAACAACGTCTTGCGGCGAGAAAAGTTTTTCATTGAAGGCGGAAGTCGGTTATTTGTCGATCAAATGGGTTTACTTTGGCCCATTCCAGGTGACAGTTGAAAATTGTGGGCTTGTCTGTCTGCCACCATGGAACAAGTAAAATTCTTACCACTTCCATCATTTATTAGTAGATAAAAAGGGTTGTCCGAGTATTCTAAGCACTTATCCCTGCACTATCAGCCACTGTGGGCACTTGGAAAAATTAACACTCTGCCCTTCCGGTCCAAGCAATCCCCCTGGGCCACTGGCACACTTAGTTTAAGAGCTAATTGGTGTATAGAAAAGCCATCAGCTAAGCGGAGGTCCCGTCAGAAGGTATGGCATCCACAACAGAAACCAATTAACATGTCCAACAAGCGGACAGGTCACATTTCCAGGCGTGTGCCATGGCTCGTCTCTCCTCTGCTGCCGTCGCAGTTGGCATAATTTCTAATGGGGAATTTCAATCAACTCTTAATTTCGATTGCCCCCAAGAGAATAAGTTTGTGTGTGATTAAGCGTACGGCAACATCGAATTTCGCCCATGCCATTTGTTATTCAAATCGGAGCGGAGCTCATTATAAAAATGTTATTATGCCGAGTGGACTGCCGACACGGACTTTCGGTGGGGCATATCTCAAAGAAATGTAAATCGGTGTCACATCCGCTCACTAATTTAATGAGCGGCTCCAGTGAACCTTTTTTGCTATCTTCTCTGCTGTTTAATTTGCTTTTTTTCATAAACAATCAAAAATTAAATGCTAATTATCCAACCCCAAAAGTATGCAATAAATTATAACCCAAAATGGGGCAACATTTTTATTGCATAAACTGTGGCGGCGCCAATGAGCGATGGGGCTGGGGCCATAAAACAAAATTATGGTTGGGGACAGGCTCTGCTCTGCAATTCAACTTATAATTTTGCCAAATAAATCTAATTGTATTAAGAGAGGGTCGGGTCCCAAATGATAAGGTCAATTATGAGAGAGCAAGCGAGTGGTACAGCCCGAAAAAAAAAACACTGAGAAGCGAATGGTTGGAAATAACTTTAAATAAGTAATAAATACATATTATTTATTTATTTTGAAGTTTTTTATATATTGATAAACTATTTTCCGTATTTAAAACACTTTAAAATATATTTTCATGTTTAAATCTATTTAGTTCCACTAAAAATGTAATTTTAAAATAGCTCTGATTACCATTCCACTTTTCTCTCAGTGTATCCAAAAGAAAGACACTGTAATAAAGCGGTCATCTTTTGGGAGTATTTCAAGCATTTGTGGTAATGTATTTTTATTTTTCCATCAAGAAAAATAAACAAATAACAATAAAAATATGTTGCATGCAGATATTCAAGTTTTTTAAACGAGAAAAGTGTAAATCTTTTGTATTTTCTCCGCACCAAGAAAAAGCAATACCTAGAATTTATTTCCCTTTATTTGCTTCCCATGCCGCTGTTGTGCAGTGATGATTGCCTGCCACCTTGCTGTTGCAAGCTTCCAAGCTATCGAAACTCCCACCCACCGGCTTCGAAACTGTAGCCAGCGGCCACACAGTGACTCTCATTTATTTTGTGGCAGCCGCAGCAGCATCAGCAGCAGCTAAAAGATACAAAATTTGACGCCGGGGGCGATGCCTTTGAAGCTGAGAGAATGAGGATGTGGCTGCCACCGCCTTCAACGCCTTCAACGCCTTGCCTGCCAGTCAGCCCCTTGTCAGTTTTCATTTGCTTTTCACTCGCTTACTTGCTTTTCTTGTTTTCCTTTGGTTTTTTTTTCATGTTTTTCATTTCATATTTTGCTCATTTTTTCGTGCTTTCTCTTGGAAAATAAGCAACAATGCAGTCGCCATTTGAATGGCAGAGAGAAGCAGAGGAGACTCTGTGCTCTCTGTGTATGAGACGCATTTTGCCTAGGGCTGACTGGGGCTGTCTTAGCGTTCATATCTAAGTCGAAGCAGCCAAGAAAGTCCTTTATGCCCTTGTCTTGATTCATGCAGCGCTGTCGCTGTTGTTTCAATTTCTGTCTGCATTTTCATTTATTCTCTCACTCTCTAGTTCATTCTGTTTCTGTTTCTGCTTTATCCAAGTACGCTTTTCACTCTTGATTCGCCTTTTATTGTACGAGTATTTTTTGCGCTTTTGCGCTCCTGTTGTTTGCTGTTTAACGAAGCAAATCAACAAATTGTAATGATGCCAAAGTCCTTTTCTGCGCTGCTTGCACTTTCCCTACATTTTCGTCTTTCTGCTTTATTTTACTTGTTTTGTTTTGTTTTATTTTTTATGTGAATCCATGACCCAAACCCATAGCCCATGCCGAGACCCGCATTGGCAGCCCTTTTTTGCATGGCGCTGCGCTCCACTTGAGGCGCAGTGTGGCGTAAAATGAATTGAGACATTCATTTCTCGGCCAAGAAAAAAAGAGAAATAGAGACCCCGAATGCGAAAACCGCAATGGCAGCGGTTCCTCGGATCAGCGCGGTGCTCCAAGCGGGGTGGGGAGAGTCCTTCAACAACAACTTTTCAGCAACAACATACACAGAGAGAATCACACTGAATGCAAAAGTGGCAAAACTTTTGCAACAGCAGAAGCAGGGTGGGCACGGGGCAAAGGGGCAGTGGCAACCCCTTTTGTGCATCCAGGTGTGAAGTTTTTGGGTCGTCGGGGTACGCTACAAATAATTAAATCATGCAAAGGTTATTCCAAAGTTGTTGGAGAGCAGGAGGAGGAGCACTAGACAAGTTCAATGCCGCCTTAAGGTCCCTGTCAGCCTGTGTCTGTCAGCTAGTTTGCCACTAACTAATCGATATTTTTATTTTCCATGTGCTCTTCCTGCCATTTCATTTTTCCTTTTTTTTTTTTGAGTCATGAATATGAATTTGCATGGGACACACACTCACACACAAGAACATGTAAGAAGTTAGCAAAAATGGCCAGAAACAAAAAAAATTTTGGACTGACTGCTTGCTCGTGCTGCGTTCTGCAACCGCTGGCATTTCCGTTTCCGCTTTCAACGCACACAAGCACACAATAAAGCGGAAACTTGTAATACTTGAACTTCCCTTAAAGGCTAGTATTAACATATTTTACTTGGTATTATAAATGTGAATTGTATCACGAATAAAAGTATGAAAACCCGCTGGCATGAAAGAACAAAAAGTTAAACTCATGTTGGAAAAATTACAGTTTATTTGCTCCACTGCGGACTGACGTGACTGCTGCATGCTACTGCTGCTAGTGGCAGAGTGCACCTTTGACTGTGTGTTGCTACTTTAAGCTTAATAATTTATGAGTGATGCTCATAGCACCTCTACTATTTGTTTGCTGTTTACCTTTGCGTGGGGTATAGCAATAGAAATTTCCATAACCAAGTCAGGTTTTCTCCCCAAGCAATCGATCTGCTGGCGATACTTTCTGATTTTCTATTTACATTTCGTTGCATCCTTCGATGCACACAAGCTACAAAATGCCTTTGACTTTGATGCGAGTGTAAGCTGGCTGTTGCACTTAGAACAATTGGCGCCAAACGATTCGCCCTAAATTGGTCGAAAACACACGGGCCAAACTGGTCGAAAGTCCTTGCTCTCTCACTGGCTGTTGTTGCTCTCTCTCTCTCTCTCTCGCGGCACGGAAAGCTCTTTTGGGGGAAAGCTCCTTTCGAGTGCGCCTTATAAGCGTGGCTCACTGATAAAACCTCCAACAGTTACCGTTCCGGACGCGTAACGATATCAACCCCACACAGCGACACAACCAGCAACAAAAACAACAATAACAACCATAACAATCGCAACAAATTAACATCACAAAAAGTGAGTGAAGAGAAGAGGTAAACATTCAAACGGGAAAATTGCCGGTAAAGTGTGGAAACAAACAAATGGAAATTGCTAATTATTTGTGAGCGGTAAAAAACGAAAGAAAAGTGCGGGCAAACAAGATGCTCTCCCTCAGCGTGTGGCAAGTGTGAAACTCAAATAAAAACCATAATTGATGAATTAAAAAAATTACTTTTCGCGGAATAAGGTAAGAAGAGGCGGTTCGCTTGGGTTACTGTAATTAATATGAGCCGCGAGGGATGCATTCCTAATAAAAGCAAAAAGAAATACAATAATTGCCAGCAGAATAAAGTCTCAACCAATGGAAAGTTTGAAATGGTTGGGTAAAGTTTAAGTAGAAAGCAACGAAATTAAATTATCGAATTTATGATAAAAAAAAGAGAACAAAATTTTAGGGATTCAAGTAGGAAATGATGCTTTATATGGCTTTAAATTATTAAAGTCCTTTATTTTGTGTGGGAAAAATTAAATCAAAATGTTTAAGAAGTCTCCTATGGCGGATGCTATTCAGTAAAGAGATCAACAGTTCCGAATTTATTAAACGATTGAGATTATCCTTGTCTCCCCGATCGGATCATCTTTAAACTCCATTTTGCTGTAAATCTTCCATATCAATACCTCTTCTGGAACCCTGAAATCACTTTAAGGAACACCATAAAATTCACAGAAATCACTAAAAAAAAATGTTTTATTTTTGTTTGACAAAAAAACCAAAGGAAAACATGTGAAATTCCCAAATGGAGACGGCAATTTAATGGCAGTTTGTGCCCAGGCAACCTTTGCAGTCGATGTTCTGCATGATATCCCTCCTTCTCCTCGTCCTGCCAGTCCCTAGCTGATGCGACTGTAAGCCTTGGCTGGAACGTCTGGGCTTAGGTTAAGCACACACAGGAGCAGAGAAGAAGGAGCAAGGAGCACAAACAGC